AATTCAATAACCTTTAATTATATAGTTAAACAATACTTGATTGTATGGTGTGTAAGCCTTTTAGAAGCTGGCAAAGAATGACTACAATTATATAACAAACACAGTAGTGGTTGGGACACTATTTATATAAGCCATTTGATACAACAACAACAACAGTTGTTATGGTGTGTAAAGGGCAGATTAAGAATGTAGTGTTAAAAATTGTAATAGGCCTAATACTAATGTCGTATGACAAGAACAAATGTATTCATTCTTTGCCAGCTTGTAAAAGGAGTACACCATAACAACTGTTGTTGTATCAAACCACTTTTGTAAATGGTATAGTATTCCAGTCATTATTGTATTTGTTGTTTCCTAGCTGGTCTGAAGAGCTCTGTATTAAGCGAAACACAACGTTGGCAACATATATGACAAATATAGTGTGGTTGGAGTACCATACACTCTTCTAATTCTTGAAAATCCCCAAGGGACTAGATTAAGAATTTGGTGTTTAAAAATGTAAATTTTGGAGGACCTCCCTCCCCCATAGAATTCGAGCAGTGGTGCCGCCTCAAATTTTATAGCTTACCTCTTAATAACATTTAAACCCATGTTCATAAATTAAAACCAGTGTTATTTATCTATCTTGAATAGACAAGTTGAAGTAAAACACAATAATAAACACTGAATACATTTAGACCTATAACATACAGCCAATATTAGTACTCTTTTCTTGGGCCTTACCACAGGTGAATATATAACACATTCATAGCCTCTTGAGGGAAATGTTTTAAATGGAAGTTTTTAAACGCTTTTCATTATGTATACATTTTAGAATTTTGCTAATGCAATAGACGAGGATTCCCAGTAACTTTCTACATAGGCCTAGATCTGTCCATGCATGACTGTATACAGCATAGGCGTACATACAAGTTACAGCACCATACTTCTCTCCTGTCTATTACTTTATAGCTTTAGATTTCGGATAAAAACCTGAGAAAAATCATGAAATGACTGCATAGTATGAGCAAGTCCTGGGTCGATTGTTTAAAGGTGGCAACAGTCTCTAGACTTCGTACAATAAACGCCAGAAAAAAGAAGAGAAACCAGTGGATGCCAAAAGGGCAAATCTTCTAAAATGAGAAAGTTGCAGAAACCTCCAAAGGTCACTATAGATATTAATATCACCATCTGCCGTTCAAAGTGACTAGTTGAATAGTAATGAACAATCCTCGGGAAGTGAACCTGTGAGAAAAAGTATATCCTAAAGCTTAGTTTTGGTTATATAAATAAAGTCAATCAAATTATTATTTTGTAATAATGAAGTAATAACGGTAGCTTACTTTTTTTGATATTCATATTTATTATAGGCCTACCTGACAAAAGAACGTTTTCACCCAGGAAAATATTAAAATTATCAGTTACAATTGCTACAAGAACCAGTATTATGTGAAGCTTGTATGTCTTCAAGTTGTATAACGGCATAATAATATACTGTTATAAACTAAACTTTCAACAAGTACATAGTTATTTCATACCAGACATCGCTACAACTGACCAGTGTGCTATGGTAGTCTGGTACGTGCTTAGTGGGAAAGTATATGAAAGGCTGATGGCTCTCGTTCCCTCCCAGGGTCACAATGCTAGTGGGCAAGGTCTGTTAAATCAAGTAAAAAGCATATATGGATATTACAATATTGATATGAATAAGTGTGTTTCAAACAGAACAGATGGAACAGAGCTTATCATAGGCAGTACAGTGGCTTTCAGGTAAAGATATCTTCTGCCATGGATATAAACGTCCATGTGTGGGGCTATGCTCACGTACCCATAGGCAGTACAGTGGCTTTCAGGTAAAGATATCTTCTGCCGTGGATATAAACGTCCATGTGAGGGGCTATGCTCATGTACTCATAGGCAGTACAGTGGCTTTCAGGTAAAGATATCTTCTGCCGTGGATATAAACGTCCATGTGAGGGGCTATGCTCATGTACTCAAATTTAGTTGTTATAGGCTGCACAAAGATGTGTGTTGCAGCAACAACATTATTCAGTCTGTTGCAAAAAGCCGCAGATTTATTCAAAAGCTCCTAGAAGCGAAATGATATCTGGAATAAAGAAATTGAGAGCAAGTTAAGGGCAAACAAATTGAAGAGAATTGAGCTGAAAGATGAAACACGTTGATCAGAAAAATAAAATACATCATCATCAGTGTTTGGGACATCTACAGGCCACTCCAAATCTGTTTTCCCAAATCTGATCAAATGTCTGGTTTTATTATAGCATTCAAAGTCATATGATGTTCCCATGAAAACAGAGGCCAGAGGGATGCTGAGGGGGCTTTTTGAGGTATGAAACAATTTTGACCGTTCAAACATTCATGTCCATATCCATCAAATCACACCTGTATCAGAATACTTCAAACAAGTGGACTTGGTTTAGTTCAGGCTTGGAGGCAAATGCAAGAGTGTACAGTTCAAGGGAGAACATCGAAAGACGACATGAAAAACATTGTATGTGGAGAAGACAAATGAATGAAATTTTGTGCAACATTGGCCAAATCTATTAGATGTCGGCGAATGTGATGAAGTCAAGATATAAGCTTAATTGCGTGTCCAAAGGAATTAGAAACAAGATCTGCAGAAGGCGATACAACTACATAACATATGACGAACTACATACAGGATTGATCTTTCAACGTGGTATTTGATTAAGTAATAGGAAGTGTGATGAGACGATTTACAGAACATAGTCAGCTGTATGCTGACATACGATGTTTTGATCCAAAAAGTTTTGATAACAAAGAAAAAGGACCTGCCTGTTGGATCACTGAATAAGATATATCAGCTTATGCCACACCGCGATCTTACAAAAGTGAAATCTGAAGTGGAACATATTGCAAGTGTGTATCTGAAGCTAACTCAAAGTTTATAAGACCAGTACACTGCCTTGGACGAGGTTGGTTGAGGAAGGTGACACCACTGATGCATTTGAGACTGACCACATCACAGAGTAGAACACAAGGAAGTTATTTCGTGCAAAACTTTCTAGAGGTGCAAATGGTGTTTAATGTGTGCTTTTCGGTTGCTTGAGAACTACATGCCACATTCAAAAGCATATGACAACTTATATAAAGTGCATCACTTTCTTCTGACACTTTCCATCATTCAAGTTCACTGTGAGAGATGTTTCAATTATCTTTATCATTGAGAAACAATACTGAGGAGCAGTGGTGGCAAGCACATTTTTTTTTTGGGGGGGGAGCAAAGCAAGATATATTCACGTGTAATTTTAAAGGGACTCGTTATCCCCCCTAAATTTTAAGTTGCAATGAGTCAAAGTTAGGTTTCAAAAAGTATTGAGTTTTGAAGCTCCAAAGTACACACAAACCTTGGAAAGTATCAGAAGATTTTTGATCATTCTAGCATATCTAGCTATTTTTTGGGGGGTGGAGAGAAAATAACATATCTCTTTAAAAGTGAATTGTTTCTAGCATATAATGAAAGAAAAAACATCCCCTAAAACAGTAGTGCGCGTGCGAATGTGTTTTCTTATCATACACATTACATTTGCTCTTTATATATACAATTAATTTGGGAGTGGCAAGAAAAAATTTGGTTGTGCAAATGCCCCCGCCCCCATTTAGCGCCACCATTGCTGAGAAGCCTATTGATGGGTAAGCATCTTGAAACCCTCACGCTACTAAGCACTGAAACTAGCATTTTAGCAGAGATACCAAACAGTTAAATCATACACATGCTCTCAAGATCATCTGATGAAATCATATGGCTTTTGGTGTATCAAATTCAGGTGTCAAATATTGTTAGTGCATATAAACATTAGACGCTTACATGTAATATTTTATGTATGTGTTATGCACATATAGGACGGGAACATACCAACATATAAAGTATACATGTATTTATATTTTTATATACACCAGATCTCTGTGAGGAATTATAATTTTACACAATAGTTTTATATACCACTGAATATGTTAATATCGAAAGTGTTTACTACTTAAAATTAAGAGTTAAGGCTGCCTTTCAAATAAACGCAAAATTATTCTGGCAAGAGTTTTTTTTTTCTTTTTTGTAAGTGATTAATTCCTCACTAGTAGTCTGGTACCATGCAAGTAAAATATGTACTGCAATTTGATATACTTCTCATAAATTATTAGATCACCAATGAAGTGCCAATGCTTTTGCTAGTGCTCCCAAAGGAGGCCCAGTCCGCCACTGGTAATCGGTCTAGTACTAATATCTAATGACAAGTTTATTTAATACTCAATTTTAGTTAATATACTTCCCAAAATTAATATTTTTAGTTGTAATTCTACACAAATTATTGAAATGGTGTTAACAACATCACCTATCAATAACTAGAGGTAGGTTAATAAGAATTTTCATTTGAATTTTTGTAGTCTAGGATGTTATATTTATAAAACATGTTATCAATGTTTTCATTAGTGTACTATATTTCCTTTTTTTATTGATATTAAAATTTACTACTGTAGCTTAGACTGGTTTAATTTATTTCGGTTATTCGCATAAGGCCACACAAAGGCTATCTACTTTAACAGTCCCTAGTTTTGAATTGACGGTTAGTACTAGTAGGAAGGTAGCTAAGCAAAGGAACCCACCCCTTATTGTTATGCTACTATAATAGAATAGTGGAATTGGAACTGCATCCCAATGTCACACCAGAGGGCCTTAAAGTGCGAACTGCTATGTTTTTTTTGTTTTTTTTTACAGTGTGTGTGTTTTCGGCAAAGTTACACGAATTATGAATTCTAACAGTTTAATAATTGTAAAGTCTAAATAGTTCTTCGCGAACCTATTTTTTTTCATTTACGACTATAATTTTGAATTAGCTTAGAATTAAAAGAAAACGGTAACTTAAATTCAAGTAATTAACTCATTACTTTGATAATTACAGTGTTATTATTATTTGTCCTAAATATAGAAGATCAATTTACAATATTTTTTATGTATTTCTCCTTAAATTTAACGCTAGATGGGGAAAGCTTCGATGGAAAAAGCTTATCGGACTTCGTGTACTTAGGCCTAAGTTGCTAACTATAATTTGTATTATATTTCTCACGAATTTCTATTTACTAAATTTACCATGGAAGAAATGGGAATTATCCTACCTGAAAAGGTAATAAATAAGGGCTCTCTCTCTCTCTATATATACATATATATATATATATATACATATATATATATATATATAC